GTATAAAAGTTATTGATAGTTAGTTTTATATAAAAATATCAATATATATATTTGGTGCTTTAGCCATTATTTAACTTGAATTTACTGAGCTGTTGTTAGACCCAAACATGCCTGTAAAGTGAAACTAATCGAGAGAACAAGTTTCTGTCTAAAATCATGCAAGTCTTCAGAATCAGTGAACTTCTCTACCCCTAGAGGGTGCTGTCGATTTTAATTTCTCTTTTAAACACGACGCCAGGCGCCATCTTTGTTGTGGTCTGAAATGACGCAGTCGTTTTTCAGTCCTCTGATTGGTGGCTTTGTGTCGGTCAAAGGTCGTGTGTATTTGGCGCTTTTCGCTCACTAGCAGAATGGCGCGTTTTCGAAGAGGAAACAAAATGTCAAAGAAACATATAAACACCGAGCAGCTCCTAAAAATGTCTTTGTGAGGTTTCTTCGTTTTTCGTTCAAATATTATGTGTCCTAATTTATAAAGTCCTCGGAGTCGCTGTCATTCTGCGTTAGCTTGTTGTTTCACTGCAAAACTTCATGAAAACAAACAGCTGTCGGAYTCAACAGTTAATATATTCACTGTTTTTAGTCAGTCAGGGCTGAATAACAACCTAAAGGACCACAGCCTGAAGTTATTACACTCTTCGGTGAGTCTTTTCATTTGTTCTCCGTAATTTAGCACAAAATAAAGTGTCTGAGCCCAGATTTAATGTCAGTTTACACACAAGCCCTCTGTTGTCCAAACCCGCTGTAATTAACACATTTTAATGATGCCATTTTAACTTTACTGTTTGGCAGTTCTGTATTGTTTAGTTACAGGGGACGGTTTTAATAAAACATGCTGATCAGCTTGTTTAAAATATGCTGAAAAAATTGACTTGGTATTGATATACATGATATAATACATGCATTTAGATAAATACAAAATAAATGACAGACAATGATCACACATGGTTCAGTTGTTTACTGTCATCACAGATATATATAATATTAATTTAATGGGTTTTTATTAACCTCTGATCTTCAAGGAAAAGAATCGTATTAAATGTGGAAATATCTTTGGTCTGTGCTGTGATTTATGCATTTATGCATTTATGCTTTAATACATTTTCTTCTACTTCAGGTTTCTTAAATTATGGCTGGTGTTGTGGCTATGGCTTCTGTCATCGAGGACTTTGACACACAGGTAAAAATATCTTCATTAAGTGTAAAATCATTATCAGCTTTTCTATCAGATCTGTGACAAAACAACACTTTGTTGATGATTTGGAGCATGCAACAAATYGTGAGATTGTTTGCTTCCCTTCATGTTAATTATTTGCATCAAATATAGTTTCTTGAAGAAGTGCACACTCCCACTGCCTTTCATGCCACAGTTTTATTATATTTGTTAGTGAGTATGTATTGCAGACAATTCTCAGCTACTACCAAATTAAATATTAGTTCAGTATCTGCAAAACTGTCTGAGTTCAAGAAATCTTTGCAGTAACCAAAGTCATTTAACTGAACTGTTTTTGACTATAAAAGTCATTAAGTTGTAAATGTACAAATAATGATTACATTCATTAAAATCTCTACTGGTTCATAAAATATTTTATAATCAAACAAACCAATGAGCTGGAAGACATTTTATGGTCAGTCCCATTTCATGGTACTGAACAATAATGAGTAGTTTAATTTGCACCTCTATCCCAAAGTTTTACTTCAAATCTGGTAGATTTATTATATTTTCATGTTGTTAGAAGATGCTACTTCTTTACTTTGCTCAAAGCAAAAATGTTCTTTAAATTCAACTCAGAATAAACAGTTGATCCCATTAAGCTCATAAATTGTATCTCAAAATTTAAACATGAGAATCCATGAAGTCATGAAACTATAATTTCTAAAATGCATATTTAAAATACATGAATGTAAAAGTCCCCCTTTCCTCTAAATTCTCATGTTCGATTAACATTTATTTGTCTTTTAACAGCCTTGTAAGAAATGTCGCAAAGATGGTGGCAGCTCCGTTGTCAAAACAATCACAAATTATTTCTCTCCCGTGCCGAAACCTGTGCAGAAACCCTTCTCTCCTCCTCGCTCCAACAACATCATGAACTACTTCAGCAGGAAGACTCCACCTTCTCAAGAAAAGTCAAGTCCACCGCAAAAATCTAAAGAAAACTGTTCAAAATCTCCGCCTGCAGAAAAACAAACCAGCTCTGAAACGGGGAAACGGCTGCCTGAGAAACGAAAAAAGACTAAAGCTGCTAAAAAACTTGTGAGTGAAGCTGTCAGTGTGATTGATGAGTCGAGCTGCATGATTGTTGAAGAAACGCATGAAAACAAAAACTCCAGAGCCGATGCAGTCAGCAGGACTCTAAGCAGCGATACAGCAGCTCAGTTATCAAAGTTTAGACTCGTTTCTTCTGAATCGGATATATCAGACCTCACTGATGCTAAATCTGTCAGTGATGAGCAGAATGAAGGAGAATCACCTTCAGACGGAGGCTCTAGATCTGAAAACAATGTCAAACAGGAGATAGTGCCAAACGCTACTGAGTTATCTCCAACTGTTGCCTCAAAAAATAAAATAAAACAGGTTAAAACTGCTGCACGAAATGCYAAAAAGAGACGACAAAAAGAGACAAAGTGTTGCGAACCAGAGGAGAACGAAGCAGAGCGGTCACTGTGTGAGGTCAACGTGGATGAGGCCTCTCAGCTAAACAGCAGCACGGTGACAATCTCCTTTGAGGATTTTGTGCGGAGTCAGAAAGAGATGGAAGAGGACATAAAAGATGTCAAGGCCAAATACGATGTTGGTAAAAACACAACAGAAGCAGAGGAATCGAACCCTGAGCAGTTAGATGTCCCCAAACATACAGACAGTGTAAGTCCAATGGTCCCATATGTTCAGGTCTCACCTCGAACTGTCACCTTCCAGGCTGAGGTTCATGCATCCAAACAGGAAGCCGTTAGGGCTGTGGGGAAAGTAGCTTCCATTTTTACCAAGAAAAAAGGATCCAGCAGCCCTGCAGAGGTTGTCTCATCGCCTCACGTAAAGTACGAACACCAAAGTCCAACTTCTCCAAGCGTGAAGCAAAAATCCAACGTAGTTCTTCAAGAGGAGGATCTGGAGTTGGCCGTGATCGAGAGCGAATCCACGCCGAGGTGCAGCGAAGCGGAGAGGAAGCAGTTCATGGCTGCCTTCAAACAGCCCAGCCTGGACGGGTCCAAAACCAGAGCTGTGAAAAACCAAGGCAAACAAAAGCAAGGTGAAGAGAAGACCGTGGAGGCTGCAGACAAAACGACCGAAGATGATGTGATTGCTTCTCCCGGTGCCCAGGCCTCTCAGAACAAGGAAACTGAGAAGAAACCTAAAAGAGGAAAAAACAAAGTTAAAGATGAAAAAGAGGCAGTTGTTTCATCACCTGCTGGTACAGCTGTGGAAGGAACGGTGACAATCGCTGGAGACGACAAAAAGGACAGTCCTCTCGTCGCCTCGAGTCCTTCAGTCCCAGCYCTGAGGAGGTCCAGGCGAGAAGCTGTTCTCAGTCAAACACCTGAAACCACCACAGCAWCTCCTGTCCGAAAAACCAGGAGACAAAATGAGTCGAAGGAGGTGGAGACTGCCGTTTTACCTGAGGACAGTCCTCTAAAACTGTCCACTCCAAAGAYACGCAGGTCCAAACATGGCATCTTCGTAGCACAGATGATGTACTCACCTAACGCCAAAGGAAGTCCAATCAGGTAATTCTTCAATCTCCACTCTGCTAAATCTATACATCACAGTGCATATATGTAACGTTTTAAACTTTCCTTGTTGTGTTGTGTCCATAAAGGATTAAATTCAGTAGAGTTCATAAAAAATCCACATCTAAGGCTGAAAGTGGAAGTGACAAAACTGCTTTGACAACTAAAGTAAGTGTAATGGTTTTATTGTTTTTAAATCTACAAACATAAAATCAGTTCTGCGATAGTAAAATCTTTATGGTTTATTTTTGTTAGACGATAAATGAGTCCAAAAAAAGGAARCAGGCAAAGAAGCTGGTGGAAAAAGCCAAAATGATTCAGCAAAGCAAGAAGACTTGTGTGGAGAAAGAAACGTTAAGGAGGTCGTCACGAGTCAAGACCTCCGTCAAGAGGAGCTACAGTGAAGACGAGGTAGTGAGGYCCAGGAATTTGACTTATTAATATGAACATGGAAGGCAGGTAGTGTAGCATTTGTAAGTGATCATTTGTTACATAGTCATTAAAAAAATGGAATGTAAACTTTTTGATTGCAATGTACAAATCATTATTTATGCTTATTTTAATCCAGACTGCATTTTTTGTGCATATTTGACATTTGATGAAATAAAGTTAAAAGTAAAGTCCTGTATGGTGATAAATCAAAGAGCACTGACTTCATCGAGTGTCGATATGACAACAAAAAATAAAAGCATGTTTTGTTTTCTCTAATATGACTTCAGGGATGATGCCCTGTCTTTCTTTTTTTCAGGATTCTGTTATCTGTGTGGAGGACCTGACCTCCACTTCTCATGTCGCACCAGAAAAGAGTAAAACTCAGAAACCTTTACGAAGTCTGAATGAMGTCCTGGGTAAAGCCAATCCAGCTGGCAAAGAAACCAAAACTGTCCCAGGTTGTCTTTTCTTCTCTACCATCTCCTTACTCATCMTTTTAAAATAATCTAATCTAACGGTCGTTGTTTTTGCACCAGGCTCCAAAGCGGCCTCGCTGAGTCAGGAGAAGTCCTCTCAGAGGGCGTCCGCTGTGATTTCCATCTTCGATGAGAGCAGCCACGAGGGATCTGAAAACTCCCAGGATGACGAGCAGTTCAGGGCACGCAGGGAGTTCTTGAGGAGCGGTTTGCCCGAGTCCTTTAAAAAACAGATGGCAAAGACCGCTGCCACCAAAGAGGCGTACTCCGTCTCCTCTTCCTCCTTCCAGGCTGTCACACACACAACACAACCACCAGAGGGTAGGCTTCGCCTTCAACATTTATAAAGCTTTACTGTACTGATAAAGTTTTAGGTATATTAGGGTCAGGATCTAGAGAAAACTTCATTCTGTGTRTATTTTGACAGATTGTCCTCTTTGGACTCTGCTGTGGCCCGAGTCGTCCTCACTGAAACATCTGAAAGAGATTTGGAGCCGAACTTTGAACCGACTTCCTTTTGTTAGTGACTCCCTCTGTGTGAAGACAGTACCAGCCTGCAGGAAAGTCTATGCAAAGGTATAAGACTTTTAATATGCTCATTTCTTTTTTTTTTATTCTTGTGTTTTAATTGTTCAGGGTCAAAAAAAAAAAGCTGTTAGGAATTAATGTTTTGATATTAATGAGTTTTTAAGTTCTCTGAGCAGAGATGTATTGTGTTTTTTTCCAGGGATCGGGTTGGAGGCCTAAATTCTCTGAAAGTATTCGCCAGCTTCTGATGGAGGAGTTCAAAACGTCAAACTCTCACTTCCCCGCACAGACAATCTTCGCTCGCTTCCTGAAGAGACGTGCCGAGYATCAGCAACAGTTCACAGCTTCTGGTTAGTATCTAAAAACTCTGATGGGTGTTGAGAAATCTAGACGTGAGTGTTTGGAAACTGTCTGGTTCCTGCATGTTTGTTTGTTTTTTTTTTTCATTCATAATAACAACAAAAAGTCCATTAAAAAAGTAAATCAGCTACTGAATGAAAACAGTGCAGAAAGAAGGAAAAAAAATCTTATATCTGCCCCTAATTAAAATCAACTTCAAACAAACAACTTCAACTTGAACAATCTTCATATTTTAAACAATAAAAATAACATCAGGAATCTCGTAATATCTTCGATACAACAAAGTATCATACTTTCCCCCAAAAATTGAACTTACCAGTAGTAATCTTTTTATAAATTGCCATGAGGAAGTTCGGCACGTCCCAGGGGCGTTTCTGGTCCCCACCTGTCGTTTTGCTCCTCAGCATGGCTTCCTAAAAACGCTGCAGGATTTCTCACACATGCATGAATGAATCAGAGCAAGGCTTTGAGCATGTTTTTAATGAGAGTGTAACATTATAACATGATATAAAACTCAAAAAAGTTGATTTTACATGATATTGCCCCTTAAAAAAATGAGTGTATAGTTTGAAGTTAGACGTATTTGTTATTTTATCCCCACAGCTCACCTTTAGGTTTGTTGTGATAAATTATTATTATTTTTATAAAGAAATTAAAATAATACAGAGCCAAGTTAATCCTAAACATGTTGCTTTTATACAGTCGAGCCAGAAGCTGTGACCAAAGACAAGACCTGCACCCCACATCCGGCTGAATCTGCTGGAAGGAAGAGGAAGAGGAGTGAAGATCAGAGGGAAGGTATGATGAAGATGGCTAAAAAGGATAAAACAAACCATTCAGCAGAGAACGCCTCCAAGGCTGAACAGGAGCCACCGAAAAGAGGGAGACGAAGATCGAGGGTGAAAGAGAAGGAGGAGGAGGGGATGAAGGAGAAACCCRAACCTGCTCCTGTCTCGTCTGAAGAGGATTCTGTTATTGTGCTGGATGACCCGACTTTGGAGGAGGACATCAGAAAGAAAGGTTCGGCTTAAATAATAAATAAACTCATGTTAGTGCTGATTAATATGAGTGCTCAGGTGCTTTTAATATAATAAAACAGTTAATTTTCTTTTGCATATTTATAGTGAGGTGTGCGATCATTTGCACTCTGTTGAAGCTGTTTTTGATAGTTTTTTAAATACAACAAATAATAATTCAGAAATGTGTAATATAAATCTGCAGTTTCTGATCAAATAATTACGTTTTATTTTCCGCTGCTGTCAAGTGGCATAAAAACATAATTATTATTAATCTCACTGGGTTTATATCTTGAAATSATGTTTTTCAGGTGTGAAAGAGGATTTGTTATGGACAGACAAATATCAGCCTCAGCTCTCCAGTGACATCATAGACAACACAGCTGCAGTGAAGAGGCTTCACAGGTGAGGAAATGAACCTGCAGCTCAGTTGCATTCATATTTTTAATTTTTAATGCAGATATTTGTGCTGAAAGGGGAAAGTTGTGGCGTATATCATTAATTCCTTTTTCTTCCAGCTGGCTGAAGGAGTGGAAACTTCGCACAGACAGAGAAGAGAGAAAAAATCAGAAGGAGAAGAAACCAGAAGAAGGCAGCAGTGGTGAGAAATGTTTGTTTATCTTTTCCTCAGTTTGTTTTTACTGATCTGGTTTTGTGTGTTCAGACTCAGACTGGGACTGTGGAGACAATGACTGTCAGGACACGGAGGACATGCTGTGTAACACAGTCCTCATCACAGGACCCACTGGAGTTGGAAAAACCGCTGCGGTCTATGCTTGTGCTCAAGAGCTCGGCTTCAAGGTCCAAACATCCCATTTTAACAGGATAAACAAAACTTATACTTGACAAATAACAATAAACTTTTTATTTTTTTACTTTCAAGGTATTTGAGGTGAATGCCTCATCGCAGCGAAGTGGTCGTCTAATACTCTCTCAGCTGAAGGAAGCTACTCAGTCCCACCAGGTGGACAGTCAGGGGGTCAATGCCTACAAACCCACCTATTTTAACAGCTATGGAGCAAACAGCAGCTCTGCTAAACCTGGAGTTTCTCCAAGTATGTATTAATGCACAGATTATACGATTTTTTTTTCTTTAATCTGCACCCTTTTCGTTCATGATTTACTTTGTTTTCATCACTGTACTAAGATTGATTTTATGAATGAAATAAATGAAAAATAAATAAATTGTGCCATTAATAATACACATATAACTAAAGAATTTGCATTTCCTGCAAAAATGCAGTGTGAATGTTTAATGTTGAAAGATTTTTGCTAAAAGTTGTTAAAGCCAAGTCAAGTAAAAGTAGCTAAAATTGGCAAAAGAAGCTAAAAATGGCCGAAACAAGCTGAAATTAGCAGACAGATGGTGAAAGGAGAGAAAAAATGAGTACATTTGCAGAAAAACTAGAGGAGTACAAAAAGTTGCAATTTGTTGTAAAATAGCTAAAACAGCTAAAATTAAYTGAAAARGGCTTAAAAAGCAGCAGGAAGRGCATGTTTCCTGAATTGAGAAGCTGAAATGACCACAAATTTATGAATTTAACTGACATAAATCTAAAATTTGCTGAAAAKAGCAAATAGTAGGGTAAAAGGCAGAAGACAGCTGGAATTATCAGAAATCAGCTGAAAGAAGTGAGAGGGGAAAAAAACATAACGGTTGAAATCAGCAGAAGAATAGATAAAAGGAGTGTAATGATAGCTGAAAAAGCAGGAAAAAAAGCTAAAATTAGCCAAAAAAAAAAAAAGACAAAGGAAGCTGAATTGAGAACAAAGAAGTTAAAAAGCAGAACCAGAGCAAACGGTTAAACGTTACAGGAAGATTTATTTTGAGAAAGAAATGGCAGAAATGTCCTGAAGGAGCTGAACATTTTGTCACATGAATTGTTCAAAGAGCACAAAAAYTGTGGAATGAGTTCGATGCCAAAAAACGTACAGAAGAAAAATGTATCCTCTCAATATCTGCTAGTCTAATGGTTGCCTTCTTAATCTTTTAGGAAAGGTTAACTCCCCTCGTAAGGTGGTCTCCTCTCCCAGGAAAACTCCCCAGTCGCCGAGGAGTGCTAAAAAAGGAGGTCTGGCKCCAACCTCTTTAGCTAAGTTCTTTAAACTGGCTCAACCCACCAACAAAGAACCACCTAAAACTACAAAAAAAGAGGAGAAAGGTAGATACTCGTAATCTGTCATTCATTCACTTCTTCAATAAGTGAACAGTTRTTTCCTCACTGCTTTAAAAATGTCTTGTAGCTTCTTCGAAGAAATCCATAAAAGGAAATGAGAATGGTGATCAAAGCAGCAACACTAAAGAGAAGACGAGCAAGGAGCTGAACAAGACGGCTACGTCACTTATCCTGTTTGAAGAAGTGGACGTTATTTTTGAAGATGACTCRGGCTTTCTCGCTGCCATCAAGACCTTCATGAGCACCACAAAGAGGCCCGTCATCCTCACTACCAGTGGTTAGWATGAGTGGACAGGAAGCAGCAAAAGTCCCTCTGTTTGGCCTGTATTAGTTRTATATTTATGCTCTGACTTGTTTCAGATCCTGCTTTCAGTGCCATGTTTGATGGAAGCTTAGAAGAGATTCATTTCAAAACTCCTTCACTTGTAAGTGAAGTTCATGATGTAATCACATAGTTAATCTTAAAGTGTGTTTGTTACATTCTAACTGTTTTCTGTTCCTGCTGCAGCTGAGCGTGAGCAGCTACCTGCAGCTGCTGTGTTTGGCTGAAGACGTCAGGACGAACCCGGCAGACGTCGGCTCTCTGCTTAGACTCAACGGTTGTGACATCAGGCAGAGTTTACTGCAGCTGCAGTTCTGGAGTCGGAGCTCAACAAGGCCGCACACTGGATGGAATGGTAGGAAAATAAGACAAAAAATCTTCTCAGTTTTTTTTTTTTAATGAATAGAAAGAACACGATGTTCTGTATACAAACAAAGGTTGYTTTCTACTCTTTGTTTTAAAAGCTGATTTGAAGGCAGAGCCTGAAGGAGCAGCTGACAGCTCGTCCATCTTACCTCCCTGTGACACCGGCTGCACTGAGAGCAAACTGGGCCTGCTGAATGTTGATCCTGATCGAGACATTTGGGAGCTGCTCAGGGTAAAATATTCATCTAGCACCTAACAACGGTTTTATGTTTTGATTTATTTTATGATRCGGTCCCAGGGCCTGAAATTTACTGCAGGATTGCGCAAATTATGATCCATCCYCGCAAATCTAGTTTTTATAATGCAGGAAATTCMCACRTACAATAWATTCCAGCGATGTGTAATAATGTGGGCGTTTGCACTGTACCGTATAAACCTGACCACCTCAGTCTGATAAAGGGTGGGGGCTGAAACTCCCCCGCCTCTGTACCTYTGAGCGAGGTAGCAACAGACCCGAAATTAACTCATCAAGATCTTTGAGACTTTACCTGTAGCTCCCAAAAATAACAGGAAACTTAAATGCACCATCTGTGTTTAACGAAACAAAAATGACAACAGGAGCTGCTCCATCCTCAACTCAAACTAAAAACGCAACTAGTTTCCTCGTCCCGCAGCGCTCTGCCCTGTCTCCTCACTGTCCCACACACACACACGTTTGTTCTTCTATCCTCATGGGGACTTTGCATTAACTTTCATTCATTTAATAATATTTTCTATAGCCTATCAGACCCTAAACCTAGCCTAAACTTTATTCACCCGGCGATGTGGACCGAGCTTTTGTCCCCATAAGGAACAGTGGGTCCTCACCAGGCTGTCTGTACTGGAGAAATGGTCAAAAACCATCCTTCAGTCAGGAACATTAAACCCTTTAGATGCTCATGTTTACCTCCCAGAGAAGAGGGAAACATGCATTAAAATGTAGGAAAATATTATTTTCAGTGGTTAGAAGTAGGGCTGCAACTAACGATTATTTTAATCATTGACTAATTTTTCGATTCATCGATTAAT